TTCATTCAACAAACATTTCTTAAATTGGCCAGTCCATGCCTGGCACGTACAGAGAAACATGACCCTCAGGGCTGGGATGGCAGAGCTACAGTTACCTACAATGGGCTCTGGTTAGTGCTAGAGGGAAAGTGTGAGGGCAAATACTGTAGTGGCAAAGAGGGCAGGCTTGAGATCTGAATATTGGCTCTGCCATTGACTAAGCTGTGTGACCTTGGGCAGTGTGCTTAGCTTCTCTGTGCTTCAGTCTCCTCATCTATATAATAAAAACAATAACCTGCCTCCATGAGGAGGAACTGGGTTGCCACATGTGAATTACTCAGAATAGTACCTAGCACGTACACAAAAAAAGAAACAAACCCTTTGCCATCAACTCAATTCTGACTCATAGCAACCCTATAGACCAGAGTAGAACTGCCCCATAGGATTTCCAAGGAGCAGTTGGTGGATTTGAACTGCCGACCTTTTGGTTAGCAGCCAAATTCTTAACCACTGAGCCACCAGGGCTCCGCCTAGCACTCCGCCTAATAATAAGTGAAGGCTTATTATGAAGTGAAGCGTTGCGTGTTGCTGTGATGCTGAACAGGTTTCAGCAGAGCTTCCAGACTAAGACAGACTAGGAAGAAACGCCTGGCAATCTACTTCTGAAAACCAGCCAACGAAAACCCTGTGGATCACAATGGTCTGATTTGCTGAAATATGTCACCAGCCAAGCTGGTGCACTTAATGCCAGATGCCTCTGTCCCTGTGCTGAGCAAGAAGAGTGGTTTACCTTCCAAGTCTATTTTTCTGGGGCTAGCATTAAAGTGAGTTGTTTTGCTTTTCCTGAATGCACACCACAGTGGGAGAGAGAGCTAGCTGAGCCGTAGTATGTGGGCTGGGCTATGCTGGGGCTTGGAAATTAGGAGTGGGGACTGTGTTTAGTCCGAGGAGCATTGGTGGCTCAGTGGTAGAATTCTTGCCTTCCATGCAGGAGACCGGGGTTTAATTCCTGGCCAATGCACCTCATGCACAGCCACCACCCAGCAGTCAGTGGAAGCTTGTGGGTTGCTGTGATGCTGAACAGGTTTCAGTGGAGCTTCCAGACTAAGAAAAACTAGGAAGAAAAGCCTGGCGATCTACTTCCAAAAGTCAGCCAATAAAAACTCTATGGATTACAATCGTCCAATCCACAGCCAATTGTGCAGATGGTTTCGTTCCATTGTGCACAGGGTCACTACAAGTCAGAGGCCAACTTGATGGCCGCTAACAAGAACATGTTCAGTTCAGTATTGGAGCTTCTGAGGAGATGAGGCTGGACTTAGGGACCTGCTCCAAGGGTCAGACAGTGTTGTGTCACAGCACCTCAGGCACAGGGGAAGGTGGTAGGTGTGCCCTGAGACTCCCTTATTTGGGAGGTTGGGGGTGGGGCAGAGAGCTAAAAAGCCTGCGCTCTGCCTGAGCTGCTGTTACCAGGCCTTCCGTCCATCCTGTGGTCTTGGGACTCTAATGTGTTTTCAGAGTACTTGAAGATCAAAGAGTGGGGTGGGCAGTACTACCTTGGCCATAAAGTCCGTCTTCCTCCCCCAAGCATGCTTATACTTAACCACTTTGGGTGACCAGAAGGGGATTCTAGGATTCCAGGGAATTTAGCTTTGACTGTTCACATTTTTCCCACCCTTGTCAAGAAGAGGATTGGAAGAACTACTCCTCCAAGCAACATGGGTTTCCTGATTTGATCCTCACAATAGCCCTGCAAAGTAGGAAGTGTTATCTCTGTTTTATTAATAAAGAAAATGGGTCTCAGCAACGTGGTGAAAAGACAAGTTGGAAGACCTAGATTTGCATCCTGGCTCTGATGAGGGATTTGAGATAATAGGCAGAGCGCTTAGTACGAGGCCTGAACATTTGTACAGTAGGTGCATAAGTGAGAGTTTAAAATCATGCCCCCCATCCCACATCTACACTGCTCATCCAGGGTCACACCACTAGTAATATTCAGAGTATGAACTGGAATCCAAGACTTTGGCTCTAAGCTCCCCAATCTTTCTACTTTCTGATTATGTTCAAGAGTAGAGGTGATGGTGTTCAACAAGGTGAATGTAATTAATGTCACTGAATTGCACTCTTAAAAATGGTTAAAATGGTATCTTTTATGTTATATATATTTTACCACAATTTAAAAAAAAAAGAGATGTGGGAGTAATCAGAGATCTCAGCCCTAGCTTTCAAAGGCCTGGCCACCATGTCATTGCAATCAGAGTGTGCATATGTGATGGAGGTTATTAGGTAGTGATTGGTGTGCATGCACGTGTGTGTGCACGCACTCGCTGCATATCAGACTGGCTTGGGCGACACATCTCTGACTGGATGGCCCCTGCGCTTGCCTTGGCTTCAAAATCTCTGGGTTTGAGAGATGTTAAGAACAGGCGTGTGTCGACCATGTCAATCAAATGGAGGCAGGAAAACAAAGACAAAAATTGGCTTGAGGCTATTCCAGCTTCAAAACTCTTTAAAAATGAGAAGAGGAATTGTTTGCTCCCCCTAAGGGACTAATGAGTGATTCTGAGATCTCCCTTGGTAACCCAGCATCTTGTAGTTCCCTAAAGCAGGATGTTTCTGTAACATTCACCTTGAATTCTGCCTTCTTGTATGTGAAGCCATTAAGCTCAGAGGGTTAGTGCCATCAGTGAGTAACAACTAGACTTACTCTATGTCCAGCTTTGAGGGACACACATAAGACATGGTCCCCGGGCTCCCAGGAGCTCACAGATCTTATTGGAAGAACTAGGCGAGCATCTAGGGAACAACTAAAAAACAATTGCTGCCAAGTCGACTCCGACTGATGGCGAACCCATGTGTGTCAGAGTAGAACTGTGCACCATTGGGTTTACAATGGCTGTGATCTTTTGGAAGTAGATTATCAGGCCTTTCTTCCAAGGCACTTCCATTTGCACCATCCAGGGACTCAGAGTAACAGGAGATCCGCTTTACGGGGCATGGCTGTGGGTTGCTCTGAGCAGCACCAGGTCATTGTGGATTGATGCAGACAAGGGGTAGCTCCTTGGTAATACAACCACAGTAACATTTACAGGGCTTTTGCTACATGTCAGGAGTTAAGTGCTTTTTTGTGTACCAAATCATTTAATCCTCACAACATCCCTTTAGAGAGATTCTATTTTTATCACCGTTTCGCAGATGGAGAAACTGAAACACAGAGAGCTAAAGTAACTTGCACAGTCATACAGCTATTAGGTGGCAGAGCTGGGATCCAAATCCAGGCATTCTGGCTCCAAAGCCAATGTCCTTAGCCCCTGTCCCTCTACCATCCTCCTGGAGGGTCTCAGTTAATCCTTGAAGGGTGAGAGATTTTAGACAGGCAAAATACCAAAGAGGTTGTTGGTGGTTCAGTGGTAGAATTCTTTCCATGCAGAGGGGCCCAGGTTCGCATCCCAGCCAACGAACCTCATGTGCAACCACCATCTGTCTGTCAATGGAGGCTTGAGCGTTGCTATGATGCTGAACTTCAGGGGGCTTCAGGGGGGCTTCCAGACTAAGACAGACTAGGAAGAAAGGCCTGGTGATCTACTTCTGAAAATCAACCAATGAAAACTCTATGGATCACAACTGTCAGATCTGCAACTGGTCATGGGGATGGCGGGGAATTGGGCAGCATTTTGTTCCATTGTGCACGGGGTCACTATGAGTCTGGCTAATTCCATAGCAGCTAATGACAACAAAATACCAAAGGGTGGGAGTACCACAGACCTGGGTTTGATAATACTAGTTGTGGGAATTTAGGCAAACTTTTCAAACTTTTCTGAGCCTCAGTTTCCACATCTGCTAAATGGGGATAGCATCTTCTTCACGGAGTGGTGTGACTAAGGTAACGTGTTTAGAGCACAGTACAGGAGTATTGTCATTAGAAATGGATGAGGGAGAGAGGCATAGCCTGACCAACACCAGCATCAGGGAT